AAAAAAATATATATATATATATATATATGAATAAAGGGGTCCAAGAGCTGCAGAGGAGAGAGGGAGGAAGGGAAGGGTTAAAAAAAAGAATTAAGAAATGTCATATACCAACTCCCCCATGATGAATGTAATAATTATGTACCACAAATACGTACCAATAATTTTTAAAAACCTCCTGTTTTATAGCGGAGAAAACCCGAGGCTTAGAAATGAATCCTATCTCCAGAGCACAAAGCTAGCATGGGGTTGGAACTCCCAAGTGCAGTGGGCCTCTTAGCCCCTCTGCCTTGCTGCTGTTCACTAACCCTCCCCCAAGCACCTCTGCAGGGCCATGGGGCCCTGTTCTGGTCACTCAGATGACTGTGGAGGAGGCAGGCAGAAGAGCTGATTCCAATCAGCATTTATCAGCCCCCTCTGTGCGACAGACCTGACCCAGGCATGGACAGGGACCATGCAAGCTGCTTGCGCCTCCCCACTTCCTGTGCTTTCCCTGAAGAGCTGAGAGGCCCGGAGATGCTTCTTCTTCAGCTCCAGAGCACCATCAATTATGCTGGATGCACATCAGCAAGAAAACCATTTCTGGCCCACAGTGGGGTTCAACCCCACTCCTTTCATGTCTCATCTCCCCACACAGCCCCAGAACATCTCCCATGAATTGGCACCTCCCACTGTGCATCTGAGGAAAATGCTCAAGCAGTCTGTGGGGATGTCCCTGAGCCAGCAGCATAGTGGGCACTTGCTTTAAGCTAGGAGATAATCTTTATAAAGTACTGATTACATGCCAGCTCCTAAGCCAGGCCTTTTCCTTAACCTGACTCACTGGACTTTCCCAGTAATATCATAAAGAAAGATAATTATTCTTATTCTATAGACAGGGAAACAAGGCTCAGAAAAATAGAGCGATTTGACCAAAGACATACTATGTAAGTGATGGAGTGGGAATTCAATCGGAAGCACTTGGTAGGGGACCCACTTCCTCATGAGAAACAGAATTATCTCTAATGTTCCCACCTCCCCCAATGTTGTACTACAATTCTGTGCGGGTGATGTACTGTAGAAACAGCATTGGCTTGGAAATCAGAAAGCCCTAGGTCAAAGCCCTATTTTACTTCAGTAGCTGTGTGATCTTAGACATTTTATTTGGTAGTCTTTATTAGTTGTGGGACAAGTAGCTAAGTGTGTCAGCAATCGAGTCCTACACTCAATAAACAGGTAATATGATTGGCCTTAGGGAGATAAGACCAGGCACAAAGGTTTTAAGTGTAAAAGTCCAGCCCCTACACTTCACATTTCTCCCAGCGGGGGTCAGGCCGTACCTAGCCAAGAAATACACAGGGACAAGATGCTACCATTGGCAGGAAAAGCCCTGCTCCCACTGGCCATCCCAGTGTTGCCGGGAACCTGCCGCAGCTCACCTCTCTACCCAGGTAGGAGCCTTCCTGCTCAAAGATCAGGGCCAGGTACTCTTCACTGTTTCTTGCAAAGAATCCATCAATCTCCTCCAGCCTGTTAAGAGACAACTCATGGTCACTCAATATCCAGTGGGAATGGGGCAAATGGTGGCCCACCACCCTCCAGTGGTGGGCCACTCTGTAGCTCTGTGGTCTTCCTCTGCCAATCCTCCAGGTGGAGGAAACCAAATTTTCAATCTCAAAGGATGCTGCCCATATGACCTGAGGACCCATCTTGGTTGTTTTTATTTTTTCTTTCTGTCTCTTCTAGGGGTCAGGAGTAGGCAGAAGGCAGCCTGGGGAGGACTGCGGGGAGGTTTTGAGACCATTGCTTCCATATGGCCCAGGCTTACTGGAATTAGAACCCACCAGATACAAGTCTTGATCTGCAGCAAGTCAGGACCAACTGGGAAGGCTGCGTTTTTGCTCTCAGAAGAGGGAAAAAAAGGTAACCAAAAGGCTAGGGGTGTAGCTCAGTACAGAGCACTGCCTAACCCGCACCAGGCCCTTGGTCTGATCCTCAGGGGAGGGAGCTGGGGAAAGGAGAGCAGAGAGAGAAGAGAAAAAACAGAACCAGAGAACCACAAAATCCTGGGTACAAGAAACCTCAGAAGCTAACTAATCCAAGTCCCTTATTTTAAGATAAGAAAACCGAGGCCCAGTTTTCTCAGGTGGAAATGATTAAGACACCAAATTTTATGCCCCCATCAGAGAGGATGAGCTGGTTCTGTGAACATGGGCACCCATGTTGTAAGAACTCAGCAGTTTCAACAGACAATACAAAATGATTTTGTTGTTGTAAGAACTCAGCAGTTTCAACAGACAATACAAAATGATTTTCCTTATTCCAATGAAAAAGAGAACCCACATATGCTTGAGAAGCTAGTGGGTGAGAAGGTATGGGGGAAAGGAGACCACATGTTTTTCAATACCGGGGATCAAATTCATTTTTATTTTTGACACAGGGCCTCATCAAGATACCCAGGCTGATCTCAAACCTTTGATCCTCCTGCCTCAGCCTTCTGCGTAGCTGGAATTACTCATGTGTGCCACCACACCCAGCTCACATCTTTTTACTTTCAACTTGGTACCTCACATCCCTCTACTGGATCCAAGGACATGGCAGTGACCAACCTCAAAAAGGTGCAATTTGAGGTGGTTACTGGAGCCCAGCCCCTTACAGTATGAGGGGATACACCAGAGAGGAGTAGGTCGGAGTGCACCCACTCTGTGAATTAAAAGAGGTGCTGTGGATACTGCCAACCTCTGGGGTGGCATCATGTGCTGGCCTCTGACCACTTCCCCAGGGAGCCTTCAAGCACCCACTCCTGCCTGGTGTACCTTCCCAGCACTGGACCTTGACTGTGTTTGAGGCTGGGCTCCCGCAGCAGTCCCTGCTGGTACATGGATTTGTTCCTTCTTGGCAACAGTCCCCCAAGCTGGGCTTGAGTTCTCATTCAGAAGCAGGGAGTCTAATGTTTATAGCTTCACGCTTTCGAGTCCCTGCCCTTTTCCTCTCAGAGGCATCTGATCTCCTTGGTCCACTTCATGCTTATTCTGTCAGCAGCCTTTCCAGAGTTAGAACATGTGAAATCCTGCTGTACTCCACATATTCCTAAGGACAGGTGAGAGAAGCTTTGACAGGTATGACCTGAAGAATGCCATCTGTCTTTTTCTTCCCACATGGCAGGATGGGCCCTTGGAGGACAGGACTCCTCAGCAGCACTTGCAGCAAGAGAAGCCACCCAGCAGCTACTCCAAAGTGTTGCTGGCAGAGTGGAGTATCTGCCCAAGGCAAAGGCAACAGGAAGAATCAACATGGGTCCCCCTCCCCTGAAGTTCCCATCACCCTCTCATTCCCTGGCCTGGACCCCTGGCCTATGCTGCACTAAGCCTGTCCCAGCCCAAAATACTTGGCAGGTTCCAGTGGTGGACAGGCTGGGGGCCACGTGTCATGGGACTCCAGGGCATCGATAAGTCTCTCCCGCAGCGTCTGCACATTAGCACCAGCCACTGTGAAGGAAAACAGGCACAGGAGTGGGGTCAGGAGAGAAGGGCAGACCTCAGACCCTGTGACCCGTCCCCCAGAAGGCAAGAAGCAGTGCTTCAGAAATGGTTCGTGAAGGCCCTGCCCAGGGACTCACTGGTCTGCCCTGGCACCAATCCCATTTTGACACAAAGACCATCCTGGAAATATGGTGCCCCCGCCACTGACCCCAGGACCCTAGATGGGCCACATCTGAAGGGCTTATCATCCTGACTTTCCTAAGGCATCTGACTGGGAAGACACTTTTAGGAAACTGTGTTAGATTTCACTTGGGGTATCCTTACCCTGGAAACCATAGTAAAAGAGGGAGGAGGCAAGAGAAAGACACTGACAATGCCAACAGCACAGCCAGAGCCAAGACACCTACCTGGCAATGTTGTTTCTGAGCCATTCTTGGAAAAGGCCTTAAAGAACTGGAAGCAAAAACAGGCAAGAGTCAGTAATGCATGCTGGCTAAGGGCAAGATGATGGTGTCAGATGGACTTGCATTTCAAGTTCAGCTGCTTATCAACTGGGGTGACTTTGGGTAAACTACATAGCTTTTTGTAATCTCCACTTCATCTGCAAAATGAAGATCAGGTAGGTTTTGCCCTGGCATCTGGATGTTGATTCCCTTCCCCATTACCCTCACACTCTCCCCATCCCAACACAGAAGCACCCACAAAACCTGGAGACAGCAGCTCTTAGACTTCACTAGAGACAGACTCTGTCTGCAAAGCACCAGCACCTAGCACATAATCACTGAAAACTGTTTACTGCACAAGTCAATGGTGCAGAACCATTTCTGCTTTCCCTTGCATTCCCATTTGAACAAATAATAGGAGTCACTTTATACATCCCTTGGAAAATGTCGGCTTTCCTTTGTCAATCTGGCCTTGACCCTTGTCTTGGAAAAGGGGGCCCTGAAGCTGGAGTCTCCTGCACCGAGAACACCCACCTGGCACAGTAGAGAAAAGGGCGGGGCTCTAGACTGGGTCCCCACTGAAGAGTAGGCCTGAGCCCCCAGAGAAATAGATAGGCTAGTTTGACTCATTGCTTTGTCTTATTTCCACACACATGACATCCCAGGTCTAATCTGTCACTTCTTTCAAGCAAGAAGACAGAGATCACAAGACAACTCCTTATAATCTGGACTTTTGCCCCAGTGACCAGATAGCTGGCAAAGATCTTGCCTTTCCCTTCCTGTTCAGGAGGAAACAAAGTTGGTTTTTTTGAAATACAGCTACTTAACTGCCTGGAATAAAGCCTACAGGATGGGAAGACTCCTTCCTAAGAGTCCCTAACCTTTTAGCTACTTTGGACCCCTGCCTCCAACAGCACACCACTTGGTCTCATCCCATGCTGGTGGCTGAGTGCATATTCTGGGCTCTGGAAGACCAGGGTTGAAGATCTGGCTCTGGCATTCTGTTACTATTTAACCTTTAATAATACATCATCCTCTCTGAATCCCAGTATTCTATCTTTAAAATGAGGATGACACCATCTACCTTAAATTGCTGTAAGAGTTCAGTAATAACCCTCTAAAGTACTTATAAGGCACAGTACCTGGTATACACAGCAAGGAACCAATAAATAACGCTAAGTGCATCACCATCACCATCATCCCCTTCCTAACTCCCTACTATTTATTTTTCTTAATTTTTTTTTTTTTTTTTGGTTTTT